CTTGACCCAGCATCTCCCCACCCCCCAAAACAAAACAACAACAACAACAACAATACAACCCGAACGTCCCCCTCGTTCCCCACCACGAAAAAAAAGGATGTTTAAAAGGGCTCCATATATAAAGCGAAAACTCCCAAATTCCACACAGTCGTATAACATTTTATTTTGCTCCATCTATCGATCCAAGAGTGTAAGGGCGGAAGGTGCTTTTTCCGTTTCGCCTCGTTTAAGACTTGGACTAATTGTAATGGTCGGCCATGTCTGCAGAAGCGGACGTGCCCGTCTGTTCGGGGCGATGCTGGAAATGGTGTGAGCAGACCTGTTTCAAAGACGATGTGTCATGCAAATGACTGGCTCCAGACGGGAGCCCGGACACGCCTGGACGAACCTATGGAGACTGGCGAATTGACGTGCAGGAAGTTCGTTGCGTTGCTGTCGTCTTGCGACAGAACAGAAAAACGTATCTGCCAAAAGTGAATTTTTACACCAGGGGGAACCCCCCAAAACAAACTTTTTGTCTGTGCTTCAAATTAACTAAACGTTGGTCAATCCGATTATTTTAGGTGAATGTTTATTGGCCAAGACAACTTTTGTCTAATTTGCGGAGGTATACTACTGTAAGAAGTTTTAAAAAACCACTCCCTAACGTTTGTGTGTGTGTGTGCTTTTCAAATTATCGAAAATATTTTGGTGGATTCTGATAATAATTTTATGTCAATATTTATTGGCCGGTCTAACTTTTCTCCGATTTGCTGAAGTATGCAGGAAATAGTTCTGGAGTAATTGATTAAAGTCTCTTTTTGTCACAACAATATCGGTAGGTAATTAATTAGTACACAACGCATGTTTTTAAAAGCCCAAAACTTCCTAAATCTTAATTGTTCAACCATAACACCAAGAAAGGAAGACGCTCCATGAAAAGGGCTTTCTTCCCGATATAAAAGCGCTACTTGACCTAATTACGCACATACGATTTTTTGTCATAAGACGGCACAGTGTTGAAGTCGCAGCCAATATGGGAGATGACGGGCGGGTGGGATGGGGTGGGTGGCGATATTGGTGCGTGTACGCTTGTGATATTATTTTGTTGTGAGATTTCTGGATTGTTTCTTTTTTCCGGTTCTCACTATCTTCCTCGTTC